ATCCTTTCGTAGCAAAACCCTTTAAATGCCGCTTAAAAAATTAATGCATTTGAGTGCTTTAATGGAAGCAAAGGAGAGACCTTGCTGTTTTGTCCTGAAAAAGTCCATGGAAAGTTCAAAGGGAACTTTCAGTGTTTAGTTATGCTGCATTTGCCCATCCAAGAACTCTTTTCCCTTAGTAACCCGAAGCTTTAATGTTTTATTGAAGTTTCTGGGGGATGTTGGCTTTCATGGGAGAGCAGTAAATGGGCAGCCTGTAAAACCAAGGCACTAATATGTCAAATATGAATTTAGCTTGAAATACTGCCTGTTACGAATAGGATTTTCCAGTCTTTTCCTTCTGAAATTGTTGAATATTTTTCTATAATTTTCATTAAAGCAGAGCCAGGGCAGTGCAGAAAGATTTAAAGGGATTTTTTGGGTCTGTTTTGTTAAGTGGTAGTAATCCCTTGAAAAATGTGTTACTGTTCTACCTCCACGATTAAATTCACAGCTTGCTTGCAGTGTGAAAACGCTGGCAAGGATGCACTTGCCTTTGCAAGCTTTGCTTGTGAGATGTTTTCACTTAGCTGAATACGAATTAAACTTGGGGTGCTGCAAAATGCAGCTCACAAGGTGCTCTCTATAAACTGGAGTGTCACCACCTACGTCTGTGCAAGCATGCTTGCAGTAATCTGTGCGCCGCTTGTCCATGCCATTAATTAGTCCTTATGTTTAAGATTCGGTCTGTGGGAAATGAGGAATGACAGAGGTTTTAAATATGAATTATTGGAATTTTGAGTATGGAGAGAGGTTTTAAGTGGGAGTTTGGGGTGTGGAGAAAGTCATAATCTGAGATAAAAGGGGAGATCTTTTGGTGCCTTTAAACTCCATTGATCCTGTAGTGAGCCCCTTAAAATGTCATAATTTTTTTTTTTGTACATTCTAGCTTTTTCTTTGTCTCCATGGAGTAAAATTTGCCACATTTTAATGCAGAGCTTTCTAGGACTTTTTCATCCTACTTAGAAGAGTAACACCAAGGCTTTTCAGGAGAAATTACCGCCTTTAGGTTTCTATATTCATAAGTTGACGTCCTCAGAGATACAAAAGCAGATTAAGTGTCACTATTGCAGCAGAAAAGAAACTCAGCAGTACATGCAACAGAAACAGACTGTCAGCAAAAAAAAAATCAGCTACGAGAAGTCAGCATTAAAAACAACCATATTATTTATCTGAGGTACAGTGTTGCCCCAGGGAGAGTCAACAGGGGCTTTCCTATCAATTTGTGTAGCCAGAATTCATTAGAATTCATCCTTTAGTTATAATTTGAATTTATTGTATTAGTTTTAATTCCATTGAAGTGGAGTATTTTTTTTAAAAGAGACATGCAGGGAAGTAAAGCCCAGATACACACTGCCATCTTTTTATCTCTGGCAAAAAAGAAAGAAATACTTAAGCTACATATTTCACAAGCCTGAAAGAAGAGTGAACCTCGGTGCTTGGGAAGCCAGCAATAACGCAGGCTGAACCCCATGGTCTTGCTTGTTGAGACCAGTTGTAGACTGGCTTGTTAAATGGCTGGGGAGGGGAAGGCAAAAGCACAAAAGGCCGCTTGCTTCACAGACTGAAATAAGGCTTAGCTAACCAAAAGGAAAATCTACATGTATGTAACTCAAGGAATAAAGCCAAGAGTACAGATGGTACGTTTTACATCAAAGTCTTTTCACTTCATTCTTCCCATGCACTTTTTTCCGCACTTCTGATTGATCGAGCTGAGCTTGCAAAACTCTGAAAGTAGTGACCAAGCCTTTGCAATTTCCAACCACCAATATTCTTCCTTGTCATTGCAGCCCCAAATTAAAATCTTCCACTAGAATAACGTCCCTAATAGTGCTGCTGTGGGTTTTCACACAACAGACTCTGATCGCATCAGCCTGCCAGGCTGATTGTAGTTTAATTGCAATCACCATTTCCAGCCAGTGTGTTGATTGTTGGCTTGCACCTTTGTAGACTGCAGTCACTGAAATCATAGAGCTTATTTGCCGGCCGCTCACAGCTGAATTGAAAGACATATGTAGTAATACCCGAAATTAGAGTCTGTGCGACTTGATTTCTCTGGCTGTAGCTGGCTGAGCAGTAGGTATAAGTGGACAACTGTGTCAGCTCCACTGAAATACTGATGTACAACAGCTCTTGTTGTCGGTGCTGAGGAAGAACTGGCAGTCCCTTTGCTGAGCAAATTGATGCAGTATGAAAAATTAATCTCACCCACACTCACAAATAAGTTAAAATACAGTCACTTAAAAAAGCAGGCAGTTGTATTAACGTGTTAGTTATAATCCACGTGCGATGCATGACCCTGTGTTTTACCCTGCATTTTTGAATACTCACTAGTATTTGGACAACTAGCCGCTCTGCCAGAGGTAGCATTTTGGATTTGAGCAAATTCCAAAATAGTTGTTTTTTTCAAGCAGCATCACCAGCCATGCTACACCTTTTTGTCCTCTGCCTCACACATGCAGAATATACCTGGAAATTACACTGCCCTGTGGTTCAGAGCAGTTTGAGCTGAATCTGGATTTGTGGCAGCTTTGGGGTCCATAAACCTCTGGAATGGTCTTTCTTTCCATGCTGGTCAGGAGGTAACTAAAGCCACAATGTGACGGTTATTTCTGCAAAAGTATTTTGGGTCCTTCACTGTGGGAGGTGGAGGGATGGGTAAGTAGTATGCGCCTGAGAAAACTGTAAAGCAGTTCTGAAATTCTGTGTCTGGGAAATGCCTGGCTTAAGATATGGTATCAATACTTGATAACAAAAGGCTATATGAATTCTTGATTTGCTTTACCTGCAAAAATAACATACTGATTGCTCAGCTGGTGTGAGGAATATGCTTAATTACAGTCTCCTGGAATTTCTCTACAAAAGCATCATGGGTTGTTTTTTTCCAGATATTCTCTTTTTCTCTTTCCCCTGAACCTATAAATAGTTTAAGATATACAGGATATTAGATGAAAGCAAGATAAGTGTAATTCACAAGTTAAAAACAAATAAATAGTCATTTATACTGCATGCATGCATTGATGGAATAGCTGAGCTTTGATCATCAAAATTAGGCCGATTGAAATAAAAAAGGCAATGGAGTTTTATTCTGAAATAACCTCCTCAAATCCTGAAGAATGGCACTGTGATGTTGGTTTATTATCCCAGCTAATCAAATTATCACAGGTTATAGGCAAAATGGATGATTTTTCTTTTTAATCTGCTAGTGTGGAAATGTCAGAACAGGATCTCCAAGCAAAACACTATTTTCATACTGATAAGCATCTAATCTTTTGAGAACCAAATAGCTATTATTACACTTTCAGTCCATAAGCTCTGTCTAAAATTGGTGGCATTTCTCATATACTTTAAATTAGAAGATTAAAAATCTTCTTGAGTTTGCCTTTTAAGCAAGGAAGGGAAAAAAGGCAAAATTAATTACAAGAGCTATTATTTTAGATATCTACTTTGATAGTATCTACTTCCAGCTGAGATCAGTTGGTCATAGCTTTTGGAAGACCTCAATGTTCTGTGCACTCTAGCGGTATTGGCATACACTCCTAATATAAACCCAACTGTATCAAGAAAGCTCTACTCTGATACAGCTTCCTTTGCTTGGAGCAGTTTTTCGTACACTAGTATAATGTCTAGCTGTGTCCACGCGAGTTTTTGTTGGTGTAGCATGTTTGTATCCAGTGTACTATGCTTATATCTTGTGTTTTTGCTGTACAGCCCTCACTTCAAATCTGTTCACGTGTAATCTCCCAG